GGGTGAGCTTATATCTTTAAAAATGTCAGTAATTAAAAAAGTACAGTGCGTTTTAACAGATATCTTGTATACTGTTGACATTTTTAAAAATATAAGCTCATTCCGATGATACACTCACCGAGAGCTTTCATTTGAGTACCCACATCAATTTTTTATATATTTTATATATTTATATATATGTATATATGAAAAATATATCAAAATGCATGTGGGTACTCAAATGAAAGCTCTTAATGAGGGTAACATCGGGATGAGCTTATTATATTTAAAAATGTCAGTAGTTAAAAAAGCACAGTGCAATTTAACAAATATCTTGTGAAGTATTGACATTTTTGAAGATATAAGCTAACCCCGACATTACACTCATCGAGAGCTTTCATTTGAGTACCCACATCAATTTTTCATATATTTTATATATATTATATATATGTATGTATGAAAAATAAATCAAAATTCATGTGGGTACTCAAATGAAAGCTCTTGATGAGTGTAACATCGGGATGAGCTTATATCTTTAAAAATTTCAATAGTTAAAAAAGTACAGTGCAATTTAACAAAAGTGATTATTTAATAAAAAAAAATTTTATTAATTTATAATTCAAAAGTCACGGCAGTCACTTAGTGACTGCAATGTTGCTAGTAAATATTAAGATAGTACTGTCGATATTGCACTTAAAAATATTGATTTAAAAATACCTAGTCAATGCTACCAAGAAGTCTGACACAGCTTCACGTTGTCCTTTGGTCAACATCCTGTTCTTACTGAGCCGATAAACAGTGTGTAGAGTTGCATCAAGCAAGCTAGCATAATTATCAGCTTCGTTATAAAATTTCGATAAATTGATCAACAAAGGAAGAATACTGTTTCCAATGTAACGATTCATCGCGAGAGCCATGTCTGATTCATAGCCATCGTTTCTATCCAGCATCGTAGCAGCACGCAAGTCAGGCAGAAAAGCTTCTTCTAGAATCTTAAAGAACAGTTCCTTGGTCTCGATACCGTAGACCCGCTCCAAGAACAACACAACACTCTGCTTGTGACCTGGAATCAATCCTGACGGTGTGTCGCTTTTTGGTCTTTCCTGACCGGCTGCAAGATTCAGAAGGGTAAAGCGCAGAGATAACACTCCTTGAAGATCGTCCAGCGGAACGAGAGACCTTAAGATTGCTCGGGCTCTCAGAGATTCATTTTTGCCTGAAAATTTATCAAAATATTAATTTGTTTTTCAATTGATTTAATTCAATGTTTTATTTAAGGCGCGCAGTAGCCTATCGGATCCGGCCCTTGCTACCAAAGCATTGGACCGGGTTCGAGTCCGGCGTACACCAATGAATATTTTCAATATTTAAGTGTATTATTCTGCTCAGCCCAAGAAATACAAACGAGTTCCAATCTCAAAAGTTTACCCCCTACCGTAGTCGCTCATGACCTTAGTAGTTTATGCGACTTTAAACAAATTAAAAAAAAAAAAAATGTTTTATTAATTTTTTTACTACCTTGCTCGATAACTGAAGAATCTGGAGCACAGCGGCCCAATAAGTCGACAAGCGTACAGTAGAAATTCAAAATAGCAGCTCCAGTGTCGATGTAATCTTCATCGTCATCCGATTCGGGAAGTGGGTGTTCAAATTGGGCGATTATCGCATTGCCCTCGGCTTCGTCGTGGACCTGTTTAAAACGCTATATTGACAATCTATTAGTATCAGACACATCAATCATGCTTGGTTGATTATTAACTACCTAACAATAATTATTTGTTGTAAAAATTTAGATTTTTAATAAGGAAATTTATTAATCACGACTTAACTTTGATAATCATGCTTCGTGCTTCATCCAATTATTTTATTTTAAATACTAATTTTTAAAAACGACTATGTTAAAAAAAATAGTGCTGTTAATTTTGTATTTTAGTGTAGCATAAATTTTGTATCATTGTAATAAGTGTATTATGTATGATATGTTATACATTAGATTCAAAATTAACACCACTATTTTATCGGAGTAATTTTATCCAAACCGACAACTAAATTAAAAGACTAACAAAAATAGTTAACAAAAAAACTATAAGACTAAAGGGAAAAACACGATCGACAATTCTAATAATTTGATCATCTTACTCACGAATTAACCGATTAATTTATCGATGATTTCTGATTGATTTCTAAAAACTATTAATTACTCTATTCTAACTTACTTTTCGCCGGTCCGCGATTCGTTCGGACATTTTGTTAGCTTCAATAATAGCTTGCAAAAGTCCCTCGCCTTCACCACGTAAAGCCGGTCCAAGACATTCTGGTCGACGGATCAGCAAGCGGATAACTAAGTTTGCATTTTCTTCAACACTTTCACCTGGACAATAAACAAAATTCCGTATATAAGATTCATATATTGATTAATTAATTATCCAAAAAGTAATTAATTCAATTAATTCGATTTACCATTAACCCAAACGCAGAATCTCAAAAAATCAAGATAACGTTCTCCTTCAACCGGATCCCACCCAAGATCAGGATATCCCTTTTCAACAAGCTCTGAATTAGATTGCAAGCCGCAGCGCGACAAGTAAACAGCAATTTTCTCCAAATAATGTTCCCTCAAAGCCAGAGCAAGCTCTGTATTTTCCATCAGACTTGAGTAAGCAACATCCAGCGGCGTGGAGCCTCTCAACGAAGGTCTTGACAACAAAATATTACTGTTCTCCAGCAAGAAATTGAAGTGGTCGAACATAGCTTTCTGATTCTGCCGAGAAGTTCTGCAGAAGTAACACAAAAATCTACAACAAGCGACGACCATTTCATGCGAGGTGTCTTTTTCTTTTGAAGGAGCCTCGCCTTCTGTGACTTGGGCCTGAGTTTGGGTATCTGATTGCGCTTGGGATCTACGACCCAGCGTGTTGATCATAATAGCCATCACATTCTCGTGGATTCTCAGCACACGGATCAAATCTGGGTGCTGGAAGAATGTGTGATTGTTGACAAGCTTCCACAATCTTTCTCTAACCAGTTCTTCTTCTTCCTGAGACATCTGAACTGGGAGCAACGCGCGAATTTGAACCAACCCGACCCACATTCCAGCCACATCATCTTTGGTCTTGCTGTTGATTACATAAGTCTTTTCCAAAGCTCTAATCAACTCGCCCACTGTGTCATACTGTCTCACCAAGAGACTGAACATCTCTCTTACGAGCTTCGGAGTTTCAATTTGGGTTTCTTCCGCCCAACTGACAATCGTCGAGATCAAAACCTTGCGGAATACTTCTTCCGGAGTTTTCTTAACAGGTTCCTCCTCTGGTTTCGGTTCCTCCTCGATTTCTTTTATCATCAGCGCCTGCGACTTGAAGGGAATAATGGATAAAATTTTCTTCCAGCCTTCTGGCTTCAGAGGCTCTGCAGATTCGTCAGTAGCATCTGAAGATTCTTCTATAGCTTGAAGGGAAACGTAGGACATGAGTTTACCGTGAAACTCGTTCATCTTTGCGATTAAATCTTCTCCACAGGGAATATTATCGGGATCGTCATCCTCCAGGCTTTTGAAGCTTAGGATAGAGTTCATTTGCTCGCGGGGTGGACAACGGTACTCTTTGGTCTTTTTGGCAGCAACTGCTGAAGGCAAATCTGATTGTTTTATGTCTATGTAACGCCGCAATTGATCTGCTTGGAGCTCCCCGACGAAGTCGTGACTAAAGGCGATTATTGATTCTACTCTGTGACGGAGTTGGATGTCGCATAAATGGTGGAGGAGGTAACACATCTGAAGCTTTGCTCCTTCGGCCATTTTCATGTGTAGTAATCCTTTTTTGTGCTCATCTTTTCCCTCTAAATATACAAAGTATTAATTAATATTTGAATAATCTATATTATTAAGAGAATGAACAAAATTTTGTGGCCAGTGTATTTATATGATAAAATGGGTTTTTTGGTGAAATTTAGTGTCATTGCAAAGGTCTTGACTTGAATTTATGCATTTTCATGGTTTCATATCATTCTCACCGATAGTCAATTTATAATGATAAGTATTTAGGGTGCATTCGAAAATGCTCTATCTCTAAAGCTCATCCCGATGTTATATATCTTTTAAAATGTCAATAATTAAGAAATGACCTTGTATCTTGTGAAATATTGACATTTTTAAAGATATAAGCTCATCTCGATGTTACACTCATCAAGACCTTTCGTTTAAGTACCCACATCAATTTTTTATATATTTATATAAATTATATATGTATATATGAACATATACATATTAACATATGTATATATATATGTATATATGTATGTACATATGTATATATGTATATATATATGAAAAATATATCAAAATGCATGTGGGTACTCAAATGAAAGCTCTTGATGAGTGTAACATTGGGATGAGCTTATATCTTTAAAAACGTCAATATTTAAGAAAGTACAGCGCATTTAACAGAAGTCACTATTTTACAGAGCAAAATTGTATATTTATTTATAATTCACAAGTCACGGTAGTCACTTAGTGACTGCAAGGTTGCTAGTAATTTTAAAATATTTTAATTAAACTTTTACCTTTATCAAAAGTCGGGTCCCAAGTTTCTGGATTGATCATAATAAGAAGTTTTGCAATGTCTTCATTTCTCAGTTTTCCAACCAAAAGTAACCGGTCAGTAAGTTTCAATAAAGGTCTAAAAATAAAATTACGCAAATAATTTCATAAAAAAAATTAGCAATCTAAGAACTATCAATAAAAAAAAAAACAGAGTAGAGTTTAAACAAAATAACTCGTTGAAACTGGTATTTTTTAGACATACAAAAAGAGATTCTCGTTGCTGCCACCAATTGGATCGCGATTGTGGACTTGGTTTATTTCAACGGCTTCATTGAGCGCCATCATAACGTAATCCCTTACGATATCCAGAGGAAAGTACGGACTGTAGAGACTGCGGATGTTCTCGATGTTCTGATTTTCACTGGAAGGAAATACCCTTGATGCCGATTGATTAGTAAAGGGAGTCGTTACTACATAGAGAATTAAAAACTTACCTGATGTTGGTCATTTTCATCTGTGGTCTTACAGATTCTGTTTCTAGGTATCTTAAACTGTGACACATTTCCTCGTTTTCGTAAAGATCTTTCAATTCTTGTCCTAAAATTAATTCATTAAGTAAAAGTCAGAATTTTATTAAAAAAAAAAAATAATAACAATAATAATAATAATACCTAAAGGGATAATGAATTCATTTTTGCAAGTTTCCATAGTCGTAGCATGTGACTCGAGATGAAGAGCAATGAGAAGGTCATAAAATCCTTGACGTAGCGGACCTGACATGTATTCAGCGCGTATCGCATACAACAATTGTTTCTGATCGACGTGGAGACAAAGCGCGTGGGCTGCTCTATAGTTTGATTGATAACACAATGCAGCGTACAAAATCAAAGTATGTGCATGGAAACTGGAATAAATTTTTTTTTATAATCACCAACTCTTATTTCTCTTAAAAAAATCATTCATCAGACAGTTTGCTATTTACCTTAGAAGCTTATCCATCTCTATAAGCTCCAGTATGTCAATGCATCGATCCTCTTCAGGAATATGCAAGGCTAGCATTGAAATTGCGTCCTCGCAGAGCATGGACCACCCTCTGATGTCAGAAAGCTTTAAAGCATGCACCTGGAGAGATTGGTTGGGGACTCTTGCCCACTGATGGGGTTTCAAGCATTGGACTTTCAGACGCGGAGGAAACTGCGGAGTTACGTGACGTTCGGAGTTCTGAAGAACAGCCGCTGAAAGCGGGAGAGTCGTTGACGTACGGCCCAATTCAATCTGGAGGATTTCTTTGCTGGTAGCTTCGACGAAGATCGCCGGGAAGAGTTTTGTATCAGGCTCCATTTTAAATTTGTGACTGGTTTCTTTTCCCTCGCAAGTGAATGATACGAGACCAGTCGCTGTGTCGACGAAGCACCCGACGAACATTCCTTGAGAAGCTCCTTTTCCAGACGCATCTTGGGTTACTTCGTTGTAAAGCTCGTCTGCTCGAACCATGTAGCAACTTTGTCTATCTACTCTGTAATTTATTGTTGATTTCAAGTATTATGTTTGATTCGAAGAATTTAAAAGATTATATGCAGTTAAATTTTTTTATATAATTGATGTATTGTAATCCGAAGACCAAGGATTATGAAATAAGTTAATACTAGATTTTTATTTTACGCAACGTTTCGGAGTTTATTATTCCTTCTTCAGGCGTCATAAAAGATTTATGTAAAAGATTTATGACGCCTTAAGAAGGAGTAATAAACTTCGAAACGTTGCGTAAAATAAAAATCTAGTATTAACTTATTTCATGGTCCTCGGATTATAATACATTAATTTAATACAAGGTCAGAATCGGAATAACTTCCTTAAAATTTTATATAATTGTAATTAGAGTGCTTATAGTAACTGTAAAATTGTTGTTATTAATATTTTTTAATTTGTAATTAATTGTATTTTTTATTTGTACTTGCCATTTGGCCAGCAGGCTTTGGCATAAATAAATAAATAATCTAATCTAATCTAAATTTTTCAAAAAAACTCCCAAATCGTTAAAAATGTTTTTCTTAAAATGCCCAGAAAAAAATTAACTTGAATCAAGTTAATAAGTTTAAGGATTTTTCGTAATTATTTACAAGTGGGGTCCGACCTATTTTTGGCCATATCTAGGTGAAAAATTAACATTTTTTTATTTTTTTTTATTCTGCTTGTTTTTACAGAGAATTTATTATAAAAAGTATCATGAAAGAAAAAAATAAGGATTTCGATAGCTTTTTTGCCTTCAAAAGTTGGAAAAAATGTTGGCTATCATGTTTTTGGATAAAATTTTAATTTTTTTTTTTGAAGTTTGTTTTTGAAAAGTACATAAAAAAACGAACAATTAAAAAAAAAAGGTTGAGGATTTGTTAAAATTGTGATAATCAATTTTTATTTTTAAATTGTTCATTTTTTTATGTATTTTTCAAAAAAAAAATATATCAATAAAATCAAATAGAAGTTTCGGTCAAAAAAATGGTTGACCTCATTTGTAAATCTTTACCAAATATTTTTCTCAAAATAGTATTTCTTATTATAAGATCCAATTGATCGGTCTAAAAATATTTATTTCTATTTTTTTGACTTTAAAACTGCGTATAATCCAAAAAAGAGAATATTTAATCAGAAAATCGGTCACTTACTGTTCAACAACACGGTCATATTCATCAACAATAACAACAGACGATTTCCTAACACGTGAGAGATTAAAGTCCTTGGCATGTAGATGATACTGTGATGTGACCCAACCTACATAAACATGAGTTGGATCCTGCCCAGGGAATACTCTTACTCCGTAAAAATATTCATTCATCAATTTCAAACAATCTGCGTCGAAAAGTTCATTTCCAATAGCTTCTACTCCAGTTCCAGTCAAGTTTACAGACATCGCTTTTGGCGCATTGCGTTCCGGGATTTGGGGCGGGACAACTTTCAAGTCAGTCTGGAATAAATTTTAATATTTATCCCTCGGAATTAACTTTTAAGCTCTTTATTCTATTCAATCCGAACAGTGTAGCGCTAGTGAAACTTTATTTAATACAATAGAGCTTAACTCACCGTCGATACGCGAATTTGAGGCGATTTGTTAGAAAGTCTCGACGCAGAAACACCTCGAGCAGCTTTGTCCGTCATGTCGAGCATACCCGGTTCTGGAGTCCTTGACTTTGCATCCGGAGACTTGGCTTTGCGCGAAAAAAATCTGTAAACAAATTTAGAAAAATTTTAGTACAATACGATGGGTTGATTTGTGTACTAAATTTTTTAAAATCAACTAAATGATTAAAACACCGACTTACGGACTTTCCTCTACTTCTTCTTTAAGCGTACTGACAATTCAATTTTTCAGAGTAATAAGAATAACAATAATAATACGGTGTAATATTAAAAGATTTAATTTACCTGAACGGTGATCTGCCACGTTTTAATTTTTTATCATCCTTTGCGTCTCCGTTCATCTCCTCGAATCCATTCATTTCACCCTCATTACCGCTGTCATGATTTAAATTGTGAGATTCGTAGAGAGAGTTTTTGCGAGGAGGTCTTGCTGGTTTGCTTCTTTGAGGTAAAGGTGATTCTTTCATCATTTCAACAGCTTCTTCGACAGCATCTTCTGAGTAATTTCTTTGTAATCCTGTTACAAAAATTTAATATTTTTTAGTTTTACTAAAAAGTACACTGAAAAAAAAATTCTTAACTGGAGGGTAAATTTTTTTGGCTCAAGAAAATATTAAGGAAGATTGAAAATTTCTTAAATGAAGTCATAGTTTCTTAAGCTAAGAAAATTTCTTCTTGCTCCAAAAGAAATTTTTTTTTCTGGGTATAAAATTTTAATGATTTTTATTTAACAATTTACTGACTAGATGTCTGTAACTAATGGTTAATTATTATTGACCAGACTGTAGGACATTATAGTATTGACATTAGGTTACTAGAACACTGATTGTGATTACATATCAATAATTCAATAGTTCATTAACATAAGTGTCATATAAATTTAAACACATGAGCACGATACAGATTGAATTACTTAAACCGTACTCTGGATAAACGACAATTATCATTCAAAGATTTGTCAGTTATAATTATAATTTGATCTGATCAATAATTAACCATTTAATGTTTTTAATAATGAAATTTAATTATTGATAAATAATTTTCAACAAACCTTTGATATCGCTCATACTAAATCCAGACTTCATAATATGCTCCATATTAGCCGACGGCGTGGCCGCGTGATATTGTTCATTTTGTTCAATCAACAATCTATTTTGGCGCATTTTAATCTCTTGCCATCGCCTCGCTTTCTCGTTCTCCGTTACGAAAGATGATTGACAGATAACGGGCAAAGACAGACGGAGAAATTCCCAATTAGCCTTCTCCATGGTCTCAAATGTATTGTGTGATATTTTGAGACACGGTGGGCTGTCAGACCCCGCAGGAATTCTCGCGACATCAATTCGCCCGTCAATCATGTCGTCGGTATTTTCAAAAATCGGTTGATCTTTTGTGTACCAATATGTCACTGCTCTATTCATGTTTCTAAAATCAAAAATTTTTTATGAAAAATTTAATTCTCTGAAATTAATAGACAATTTTTTTAATTCTTACAAATTCTTAATTAAATTCTTAATTAAATTATCATGAAAAAAATTTAGTGAAAAAATTCCATAGGTAGAAATTTTAAAAAATAAGTGGGAATTTTTGAAAATAATTTTTTTTTAATCACAATTGATTTTTCATACAAATTTTAACAATTTTTAGATATCTGCTGATTTTAATATTTTACTAAATATTTATGTTCAAATTTTTTTTTCAAAATTGTTTTCTTTATTTAATATAAAGTTTGTAATTTATAGTTAATATTACCATTAAATGAATTTCTTAAAATTAATAACTCAAATAAATTACTTACACACAAAAAGGTTCATATCCTTCCTGAAGACCACAAGTAGTAAAGTACCTCAAAGTATTAACATCCTGTCCAAATGTTAATTTAGCTCTTTGGCCTACTCCCAATGTAAAAGCTGGTACAAAAGAGTCACCTTGAACATCAGCAAATGATGTTTCTCCTCCGAGCGCGTCCATAAGAAGCTCTCCATTCAACGAAAAACCTGATATAGAAAACCAAATTAATTTTTCAATTCAATACAACTTTTCAATAAAAATTTTCTATTGAGCTCAATAAAGACTTGACTTTTTAGATCAGTGTATTTATCTCTAAGATAAGTCAAGTCTGTTGGCGTCAAGCTATATATAATTAACAATAAAATACAGAAAATTAATTAGTAAGAAACAAATTTTAATAAAAACAATTGGGAACAAGCCACTACATCAGCGAAATTTGAGTTTTTGAGTTTCTATATATTTACAATTTATTGTTTTTTAGTGAGAAAGTAATTGTTATTTATTTTGATAGAGGGTTAAAAATTATCAGCATGCATTAATATTGTAGAGTATCATCGGTAAAAAATTTATAAATGTTAATAAGTGGTATAGTTAATTACATTTTTATTTGAAATTGTTATAGTTTGATATTGGTTTAATGAAATGACCAATGTATTTTTTTATATACAGTAAAAAAAAATAGGGTCCACTCATTATTGGTTAATGTTGAACAGTGTAAAGGCTGAGTAGAATATTGGACATCAAAAATTAGATTTAGATTTGAATAAACATTTTTATTAGTAAAAATAGAAAAATAAATTAATTAAAAACTTGGAATAAAAAATTTTTATATTTTTTAAAATTGTAAAATTTGAATAAAAAACAAGATATCCAATAGTCTAACTCTACACTCAGATATATATTTGTAAATATATATAAATGTAGCTTATAATGGCAGCTGAAGCGTTGGTTTAAAGACTCCGTCTTACTAATTGTTCGGTCAATAAGATCCAGGAATACACCAACAACATCTCCAACTTGCCATTGTTTGCCAAACGTTTCGGCGCTGCCCGAGAATACTTTTTCCTCCTTTAAAATAAAAATTTACAAACAATTCAAGGACTATGTATTAACATTTGTGCCTTGACTTACACCTCATTTATTATTTATTATTTAATTTAACTGTTAATTACCGCCTATATGTGTTTTTTTGGTTTTATCGATACTTGTATATTTTTCGTTGCCGTCTTTTTGAGTCCATGTGGATTGGATTTGAATTTTAAATCAAACTAAGGTCGTAAATTTTGAAAAATTCCCCAATAGGTTTTCGAATAGGCCATACCGTGGATTAAAAAAAATTCTCTGATAATAATTAACTTCCATCGATAAATTTTTGAAACAAAATAAATTCTTGTAAATAAGATTGAATAATTAAAAAAAAAAAAAATTATAGTAAATTTCGGGATAAAAAAATAAAACTTGTAAACTCCAGATGAAAATGTCCAATAAATCCGAGAAAAGACTAAGGCGCCATATAATTTTTTAGAGCCCCTAAATTCTGCCGGATGTCTTTGAATCCTTAATAAAATTGTTTTACGAGACAAGATGCAAAAAAACAACTCAATCAACATAAAATGTAGTGAGAACATAAAAAGCAAAATATACAGTAATGATGAAATGAACATAAAATTTTAATTAAAAAAAAAAACAACGACGCTATTTTTAACAGAGGTTCGTCTATTGGGACATTCAACTGCAGTACAATCTGATTGTACACAACCTTTTCACTATCAAAGTTCAGTAAAGTGAGCAGAAAATTACTCTATTTAGTATTATCGATCAAAAAAAGATTGTACTGCAGAAAATGGTAAATTTGTTGTGGTTTAGTAGGGACTCTTACTGATCGTTCTGTCCGTGATGTCTATGAAACAGCCGACTACATCACCCACTTGGTATTTGTAACCGAAAGAATCGCTGCTACCACCGTGTACTTTGGTCACCTGATATTTACGACTATTTTTATTATATCATATTTTATTATTGTAGGTAATTGATTTAAATATTTGACGTTTTTTTTTTATAGACTAAACTTATAAATCATTTATAACGAGAGATTATTAGTGATGAATAATTTTAATAATATAAAAAAATTTTTTTTCTGTTTATTTTGATAATGACATACGTTATACCCATCAAAAGCCCAAGTGCAGTCGTCACTTCCGAGCATGCTTCCTGGCATGCAATCGGCCTTTGCCCACCCTACGCGCATCGGTCCTGCAGTCAGTACTTCAAATTCAAAGTACCACTTTCCACTGGTTACTGCGTAGTGCTTCTCTACTCTGTATGTTCTGAAGCATAATTGACGTAGTCTGCTTGCTTCTAGAAGTAATGCTGAAAAAAATATAAATAAACCATCAATCATCATATAAAAAACAATTTCAAAAATTCAGTGAATCCCACTCAGCAAAACAGTTCTAATTCATTTCCTATGTGATGTATTGACATAATTGGCACTAAACTTTAATATAATATTCTCTCTGAATATCTTAATAGTTATTTTTAATTTTTAATAATTTAAAAATACTAAAAAATCGTTTAGAAAAAAAAAACTTACGAAATTGAACTTTTTTTTATAAAAAAAGTTGCAGAAATTTTGATTTTTACATCGAAAAAAAACCGACGCCATTTTATTCGGAAATTAATATATATTAAGGACAAAAATTATTATTTGATGAAGTTTAAAAAAATATATTTATTCTGAAGTTTGAAGTTACGAATTTCAGTCAGTCGCTTAAGCATGGAGACCTTTGTGACGTATCATAACTTATTGCGTAGATTTCAACCGACAACAGATGACACACTGTCTCATTTATAAATTTCCTTTTAAATTTAAAATTGCCTCAAAATTCGCCTGGACCCCGTGTGTCCTTAACGGGTTAAATTAGATTGAATAAACTTCAATAATTGACTGATTCTTTTAAAACGAATAATGACCCATCAAATTTCTACCAAACAATTTATGAATCAAAAGATATTTTTAATGATGCATAATCGCATCACGTTCATTAATTTTTCTTACAAAAGATAATCTCTTCTCTTTGATCAAAATATAACTTTGAACTCAATAATTTCAACTGTTACTTTTACCCAGCAATTAAAATCCTGAAACTAATGACCCGCGAGTTTCATCAAAGACAAAATGATATTAATGCAGCTGAAATATGATATAATATTTAATGAAAAAAAAATGTACCTTCATGTTGTTCCCCAGTAGGCGGATCCAACATATATCCATAAACTAAAAGCGTTCTAACAGTTTCACTAGCAGTGTCTCTGTTAGCCTTTTTGATAGCTTCGTCAACTTTTGGATAAGGCACTAAATGCGGACTGCGTCTCATCTCGGAATCCTCGTTAAGCCCGTAGGTCCACCCTTGACTGATCCTTTCCTTAGCCCACAAGTTGTGAGTATTTTCCGCCAATTGGTCCACCAGTTCTTCCATTTTTGGGGTCAGAGTAATTGCGGTCAAATCTAGAGGCGCGGGTTTGTACCCACTACTCTGCAAAAACGGTTCATTTGGCAGCCTCAGAGTTTTTATCCTTTGTTCCGGCTTATCTACCGTGATATAGTAACCCAACGCTAAAATTGTTTTCAACGTCTGAACAGCCAGCTGAGTGTCGTATCTTTTTTCAGCAGCCGGTAGCTTTTCAAATTGAACTATACAAGGATGAATCTTCCGCATATCATCGCGCTGTTCTCCAAAAATCCATCCCGCTTCAATTTTGTTCATCGCCCACATCTCGTGAATGTTTTCCGCCAACTTATCACGTATTTGTTCAACATAAGCCGGGAGATTGACCATGCTGGTGTCCACTGGAGCAGGAACAAAGGCTGTGTCGTCTTCGACGGACCAAGGACCGGCCAAAACTACCTTGCTCATGTTCCCGAAGTAGAAGCACGGGTCGAGGGAAAGAATTTGCTGCGGTAACAAGCTCTCAACCAACGGAGAAAACTCTTCAGGTGGCTGGAACTTCATCCTTCCTTGGTCACCTCCAAGCAAAAATCGGCAGGACAATTTTGAAGAGCAACTTATCACTGGGAAAAACATCCCGTCAAGATTGAAATTCCTGAAGGACCCGGAAATGTTTGATCCGTTGAACGTGAATGTTATTACCGGGACGGTCAAATCCAGCGCGCACCCAACCACGTCACCTTTTCTGATATACGGCTCCGTAGCGTTGTTTAGTACTGGTGTCTTTCTGCCTCCGGTCCACAGAAATGCCCCGTCAAATCCGAATGAGTATAAATCATCCCCAACACCGTTACCACCCCATTTTTCACCGCCTCCTGGATATGGAACGTACCTGCAGTCGAATAAATCAATTTTATCATACTATATCATAATTCACAATACATTTCATGAATATATTTTGATTTTAAACGATTGACAGTTCGTTTAGATCCGCTGTAATCGTAAACAGGTGGAAATTTTCAGAGAAAAAAGTAATAAAAAATTTAAAGAATTTATCAATATTGATTTTATAGCTATTATAAATAGATTATGGTAGAGAAATTTCATTGCTTCGACGAACCTACTTGCGAATTCTTATCAAACACAATCCAATCTAGTATTTCAGTCAATTAGGGCTGTAAGGACGGTGGTACAATATAAATTTTTCCTAAACCTTTTAAGGTATTTTCCTTTGAATTCAAGTAGGACTGAGTAAAGATAAATAATTATTTTATATAAATTCCGGAATTTTTTTTTCGATCCAAATTCTACCAGCGTTCTATCAGGAATTGGCCACTTGATGGCTTGATTGACCAAAATATTAAGTTTTTTCTGAAATCTGAAAGCCTTAAAGTTATTGCCCATCAAATTTAAGTAGGGTGGAGTAAAGTTAGACAATTATTTGATATAAATACCGGAATTTCTAACTTTCCGCTCAGAATATTAAATTAAATTACATCGAATTAAGACTATCCAACTTTAATTGTGTTAAAAATTTTTGAGTTTCATTAAGTAGCTACAAAATATTTTTAAAACGAACGATGTTGAAATAATAAAATGGTTAGCAAATACAAAATCAAATAAGGCTTAAAATACGAAAAAAAAAGTATAAAATAGATCAAAAATTAAATTGTAATTTATTCTTTAAGGCTGATGAGAGAGTGACTCAATTAGTAATAAATATTATTGTTCATTACTAGGCATTAAGCCTATCTCTTGTTTTCCACCCTATGTACAGACAATCATTTGTCTCTATAGGGATTATATGTAGTTAGATGTGGACTCTGTTGTGCAATAGTGTGTTAAGTACATAGGATTTCCATAGCACAACACATTAATGCATAACAGTGTCCACGCACAACTATATATGTAATTTTGGGAAGTAAATAAATAAAAATAAAATTAATTGAAACTTACCCGGTGGTGTTGGCCCAGCCAATCCTCAAGTGTGGCATCATATGCGTCGTTTGTTCGATGTGATCCACCGTAACTTCAAAGTACCACTTCTGATAGACCGCCGAGCCCTCGACTCTACCAACAAAGATATTAGGTCTTACACTGGCCACGTGGTCCACCAATTGCGTTTGAAGAAGTAAGTTTTTCCCAGGAAGAAGGAAATCGCAGATATTGTTCTGGGACGATCGAACTGCGACACCATTTCCCACACAAAGGGAGCAGAGGACATCCAGGACTTTTGGGTCACGACCGTGTTTTTCCAGGAGTGATATTATAACTTTGATATGTTCATCCTATAAAATCCAATTGATTGTTTTGATCATCCGCCTCTCAGCCTCTTATCAAATAATTGATTATAAAATAAGTAATATAATTACCCTCATCATATTCAGCGCTTCTGGTGAGTCGATGAGGACACAATGAAGCACATCAAGCATTCCAGTGCCTTCACTAGAGGCCTGTGACCCCAATCGACTAAACAACCAGTTTAAACGATTACTATTCGCGAACTGAGCACAGTTGGTATGGTTTCCCTTTATTATTGCTGCCAGTAATTGATACAAGTATCCCGAAATTTGATCCCACGCCTGTCCGCTCTCATCCCCAAACATTGCGACCAAAAACCCCTGAGATGTTATTACATTTATCTTGTCAATAGCCTCCAGTATCAAGTTCAGAATTCCCTCCTCTTGGAACAAATCCTGGCGGTTTCTCAAAGCTCGGAATCGGTTTTGTTTCTCTTCGTGTTCTGTAATTCATCAAAATTAAAATCAATAACAATTGATCACTCATGTCATGGCAATTTCAATAGGTTTTTTTTTATAAATCAATATCGGTACCCATATCATCCTCAGGCTGGGCGAAGTAATTAATCAAATCCTCCAAACACATGACCATTTCATTAAGATTGACATTTTGAAAAAACATCGACGCTCTTCGGTCAACCTGTAATGTTTCTAGACCTCTAAAAAATTTCAATAAATTATTAGATTAAAAATTTGTTGCTTTATTTTTTTTTTGAGAATTAATAAAAATATTTACGTGATGAATTGAGTAAAAAGGCTGCTGCATTTGCGTATGACCCTCGCGGTCCTTGATTCTTCTTCTTGCGACCTCGAGAAGTCTAACCCGTCGTCCATCTTACCTTCCTCATGCAAAACTGCCTGTTTTTCTTCTACTTTGCCGACACCCTTCTTCTTTGTCTCATAGGACTGTAAAAATAAGCAGAGATACAATTGCGGTGACCTTTTTTTATATAATAAACTCAATCAATGTCTAAATATTACCGAGTGAAAATAAACTACAACAGAATTTTACATTGACAAAAAAATTGACAATTCAAGAGAAAAAATTTTGAACCAAAAAGATCATTTTGAAGATTTTAAATATTAATTTTACTTTATTCAAGAATTTTTCTTTACAATTACATTGAAAGCTCTGAAAATTAACATTAAAAGTTTGAATTTATAGAAATGTTATTTCGAACTGTAATTTTTCTAGTTTTTTTTACATGAAGCGCTTATTACTATTTATAATGTAATTTTTCTATTTTTTTCTTTCCGTGAAGATGATCAAACTCTTTAAAATGATCTTAATAATATCTCTACAATTTCTAAGGATCCAAAAGATAAAACATCGAAAAGAATTTTTTCGAAAAATCAAGCAATTTACTAATTTCAAAAATAAGGACAAAATTTTTTCTAATATCATTTTTTATACCTTATAAGAAACCCAAAGACATGTCGTAGAATGCTGCATGATGACCGTAGAATCACCATACTTAATAATAGGCATTCCAATGACTTCAAGATCCTTATCCTCAAGGACTATTTTTTGGTCGTCCTTCTCCTGACGTAGCCAGAAGGTCGAAGTCTCAATCGTAGCTTCATTTCTATAAATAAATTTTTCATTTAAAGCCATTTTGTGTCATATATTTTTACTGTCTATTGATTTTGTATTATGTATCAAATTCCTCACGCTTAATATAAGCTTTCATATAATATAATACTTTTCTATGTTTGCTGATAGATAGTGATACACTATCAACATTAAATAAAAGTGCTGACGATTCCGTGACTCATGAACTTTATAACTATTTGAGGAAAATATTTTTACCTATCGACTAAATATAGTTCGTTATTCTCTTTAACGCCGAGATAACGGCCCGTTGTTAAATGTCTTATTCGCATTGGGTGCAACCAATTGATAAAACCACCGGCCCATTTGGTACGTGCCAGTTCTAAGCGCCAGAGTGATCGTGCTTGACTCATAACGCTACCTCCTTCGTAAATAACAATGCTGTAAACAATAAATAATAAGTGGACATCAATATCAACTGTTGAATTTTTTTTCTCGATTAAATAGAAATTTACTGTAAAAAATTTACGGAGTGAAAACGAAATAAATTATTTTTAATTGATTAAATCTCTCTGGAGTAAATTTTATCATAAGAAAAATTTTATTTTTTTGTTGAATAAAAAAAAAATATTTATTTAAAAATTTCAAAATGACCATTTAGAAATTTCAAAAATGAATGAAAGTTTAAATTCACTCCCGATTTTTTACATTGTAGATAGTAAAACAATTGACAAGTACTTTTGACCAGGTGAAGTACTCCAAGTAGATGGAATAGTTAAGCACTCGTCGCCTCCGTGGAAAAATCTAAGTACATCTCCTCCAAACACGTAGCCGACGTATTTCATCCTGCTGATTCCGGTCCCATAGGGTTGAACTGACCAGTGTGTCACGTGAAATGATGCATTTACTACCGATAAATTATTTTCTTTCGTCGTGTGCTGGAAAATAGTTCAATTCAATTTTAAATCGTTTATTTATACATTTAGTATTTTTTTATTTAGAGGATTTAATATCGACGAAAAAACGCTCACGGAAGTTAGCGTGATCTAATTTTATAAATTGTTTTTTCAACATTTCGGTGGAAGTGTATAGAAAATAGAAAATTTAAAAAATAGAAAATTGTGATGCTTTTTTTGTATGATACCACAAAATTTATGACGTCAATACGAGAAATGGTTCGTCAAAAGAAGTTTTTTAGTTTTCTGTCGTCCTGTGATTTATTTTTAACCTCTGAACTCTTGAGGGTCTTTCTTTGATGTTCTAATTATTTAAAACACTGAAAGAAATTAGTTAATTTTTGAGGTTTTAAAATTTAAAATATAAATATTTAACATACTTTTTTATCTTTAGATTTATGATCTATTTAAATCATTGCTAAGCATTTAATCAAGCTTCTTTATACAATAAATAGACAAACCGGTGATTTGTAAATATTTAGTTCTAATCTGTGATTAGTATGCAATGATTGAACTGTGATTGTAAATAAAATACCACATTGATGATTAAATGATCTAGTTCTATTTTCCGATTGTCTAGGCTTGTTATATAAAATACTAATAATAATAATTAGCAATGCAGCATTTGATTTGCGTTTATATGCTAATTATTTGAATAATGTCAACGCGAGCAAATTGACCGTGATAAATTGTCGGTATAATTGAAGCTTGATTGAGATATTCAATAAAGTACAATTCAAAATTAATTAGCGGACTATAATTAAAAATGTATTATTTATTTTTCAATTTTTTAATAATTCTTGACAAATAATTACCAAGTATCTTTCTGTAGCGACGGATACAAGAATAAGGTCGTCACCGACTCTGACTTTTTCTCCTTCAGATCTTTGTTTGGAAGCTGGATGGACCGTCCACCAACAAGCCTCTCCTGTTTGACAGACACAAGTAGAAAATAATTGAAAGGATTGCTCAGCCCTTTGTTCGAGAGCTTGAGCTATATATGGATTTCGTGTTATAAACTAGAGTAATTAGCTAAACGAACCTTGAGAGTGCTCTTGTAGACCCACATCAAACGACAATTTGTCATTTGATGAGCTTGTTGATAAACAGGCGAGATACTGAAATTTTTTTAGTTATTAATTATTTTACGGCTAATAAAATTCATTGGTTTTTTTAATTATTTTATGTTTTTATGCGTACCATATCGCTGTTTAGATGCCTGAGTAAAATAGCATTTCCGTAGAGGAGCGTACGATGTCCTGATCCTGTACCTTTGCCCTAAAAATTTGTTAGCCTTTATAATGAGAGTTATTTGTTGGCTTTTGAGTGAAAATACGTGAATTAAATAAGCTTATTGATACTGAAGTATATTAGAGATAAGATAGAGAAAAATATATCAATTTTTTTACGCTATCGGTGTAAATTTGACATAAAATTTATTTTATTGCAAAATAATGAATTTAAAACTGATAATTGAATTTTTTATCCTTTAATCCAATCAAAGAATACTTTTACAAGATAAATAATAATAATAAAAAAAGTACGGCAGCCCAATTTCAAAACACAGTTGACAATTTTAAGATTTTTTTTAATTTTTTCTTGTTAAAAAAAAGTTTGCGCGCCTAATTGATAAAAACTTTGATTTATAAATAGAAAATACTTAAATATAAATATTTTTAAGAAAAAAATGCTTGAAATTATGGTTCAAAAGTTTAAATATAAGGTATAAAAATTTTAATATATAAGAAATGCAGCAATACTAAAAAAAATCAGATATAAAAATTTTGCAGTTACTGTGTTTTAAAATTGGGCTGCCAAGTACTAAGATTGTGATGTTTTATGATATTTATTAAAGCCAATTAAAATTTTGAAAAGTTGTTATGATTTAATTGTTACTAAGAGTTATGATTTATTTTTCATTTTTTCTAGTGACTATTTTTCCCCGCATATTTTTTTGTAAACAAAAAAAAAGTCAAAATTTCCTATTCTAATTTTTTTCAACATCAAAATCAAGCTGATAGTAAGCGTTTTAGTACATAAAATAGATTTATTACAAGCAACACTGAATATTAAATAAACCACGAGCTTAATTATTATTGATTATTATCATTAAATTAATCAGGAAAAAAATGCAAATTATTAGATACTTACAAGTGTGTCTTGCTGCTGCAAATGAAAAAAAACACAAATCGAAATGAGTTACTTACAAATGGAATATTTTTATTTATTAAAAGGAATTGATGCATTTATGGGGGGATGTAAAATACAAAAATCAAGTGTAATTAATATGTAGTGAAGTATTTTGACTCTCAATAATTTATTTTGCTTAAATTACAAAGGGAATTACATTAAAATTAACATTGACACATGCAATTGTTCTGAGCATCATTTTAAACGTATTTGTTTACAAAAAAGGGTGCGTTAACTTTATATGAGCAAAGTCCATATGACTATAAGCTTTTTAAATCCGCGGTCTCGAAAGCTCCGAGATAGAAAAACAATAAAATGTGTAATGGGGATTAAAGAATGTATGATGCGGTGATTTTTAAAATTAAAAATAATTTATCGAGGGTTTTTAGTTACGTTACCGTCTCTGAACCAGCTGCTGTTACTAATTCCTGCAAAGCTCGCACCGAGAGAGCTTGTTCTATCACAAAGACACATTGAGAGAGGTCAGGTGGTATGTTCTGTAATTTAGCAAGTTATTTTGACTTGTTAAACATTTTTTCATTACGTAACTTAAACAAAAGAAAAATTTGCACTATTTTAGAATTGAGACAAAGTATTTTTAGTAAACATTTTTAATAATAAATTTATTGATTTTCTTGTTTTTATCCATTCAAATCTTTAATCGCAAAATAGGTCTACTTGTTTTGTAATTATGACTCAGAAATAATCAATAATTAATAATATTGATCTAAAAATTAAAAAATATTCCATTAAACTATCAATATTTTTATTGACAATTTTTATTTCTGGTTTTAAATTTATATAGGGTCATTAATCTCATTCTTGATGTAATAAACAAGTGGGTTATTAATTCAAATAATTAACAGTTCAAAATTAATATGGAGAGTATCAAAGTTAACCCGTCAAATTGAATTAGTAATTTATTAATTAGTTGATTATATAATTATTCCTGAGTCATAAATGTCCCATTAATAATTTTCCACGTGTTATATGTATTATATTCACTGATGTAATTCAAAGTTACAAGAGAAACTGGGTCAATTAATAGTGTATGTACTTTAGATTAATTGAGTATCAACCTTCCGTTGTATGCAAACTAATAAAAACGTGTTAGCTATATAATATTGATATAAAAGTATTCAATCAAAAATAATAAAAAATGTAAAACTTTTACGAGAGCTTACTCGAAATTAATTATTCTGAAACTGCATTTTAAACTCGTTTGCGAGAAAATTCCTCTTCATAGTGTTTTTTACAGCTTTTCACACGGTGTATAAAGAATGGATCGTGGAATAAATTTACGGGTAAAAGTTTTTACCACAAATGGTCCCGACGCTTTTAATATGCAGTAAATAATTGATGTGATGATACTCACCTTGTCTGCGATATTTTCTAGAAAACAGTGACGATTACCAAACCCCTCAGCTGCTAAACAAACTCGTTCACCTGTAGCCGTACAGGATAGGCATACCATATCCTCCTGCAAAATTTAAATTTTTTATCAAGGTTAGATCGTCATTCAAAAGTAGAAAATATTTATTTCATTCAGATTTGTAATTTTTTTTTGAGGATTAATTTTAAATGTTTCAAAGCATTAAAAGTAATTCAATAATTCTATAAATTATAACTATTATTATTTTCTTCCTAAAGTAATCTAGGGATTTAATCTATATTATTATCAGAATAAAAAAAATTTTGTTTCCAGGATAGTCATATGATAAAATCGGTTTTTTTAGTGAAATTTAATGTCATTGCAAAGGTCTTGATTAAAATTTGTGCCTTTTCAAGGTTTCGTATTATTCTCACCGATAGTCAATTTATTATGATAAGTATTGAGGCTGCATTCGAAAATATCTCTAGATACATAATTAAGGAATTACTTTATATCTTGTGAACTATTGACATTTTTACAGATATAAGCTCATCCCGATGTTACATTCATCAAGACCTTTCATTTAAGTACCCACATTAATTTTCATATATTTATATATATTATATATATGTATATATGAAAAACATATCAAAATGCATGTGGGTACTCAAATAAAAGCTCTTGATGAGTGTAACATCGGGATGAGCTTATATCTTCAAAATCGTCAATAGTTAAGAAAGCACAGTGCAATTTAACAAATATCTTGTGAAATATAGACATTTTTAAAGATATAAGCTCATCCCGGTGTTACAATCATCAAGACCTTTCATTTGAGTACCCACATCAATTTTTCATATATTTATATATATTATATATATGTATATATGAAAAATATATCAAAATGCATGTGGGTACTCAAATGAAAGCTCTTGATGAGTGTAACATCAGGATGAGCTTATATCTTTAAAAACGTCAATAGAAAGTACAGTGCAATTTAACAAAAGTCGTTATTTAATAAAGCAAAATTTTAATTATTTATACTTCACAAGTCATGGCAGTCACATAGTGACAGCAAATTTGCTATTAAAAACTTAATTTGATTGACAATTATTGATATTATTTATTATTAACAAAAATTGTCAGAAATTACTAGAATACTTCGAAGTCGTAAATGAACTTGTGTTAGCTGGTTGCCAAAATAAATTTGGCTCTAATGACACTATTTCTAAAGAATGTTACTATTATTTATAAATATACTTACTAAGTAAGTTATTCATCGCACAATAATGACAATTGAAAAAACTAATGTTTATTTAAACGAACCATTTAAAATTTATAGTATTAATCAAACCTTTTGAATTATAAACAAAAAAAAATTCCAATAAAATCGATAATTGCATTTAAGGATTCGCCGTAAAATCAATTGATAGAGCATGCATTAATAAATATTGTGAGAAAAGGACACATTAGCATTACCAGGATCGGAAATTGTCAATGGCACGCGATTTCTTGGCAGGTTTATAAACCGCTAGAACTTTATTGTTATATTAATAAAAATTACTCAAGTTAAAACTATTTTTCATTGAAAAGAATTTTATTTTTTAGTACTTTGCTTGATTTAAACTAAACGTGTTGAATTTTGAGTACTACGCTCGATGATGATATCATAATAAATTTATTGCAATAGTAGTTATAGCGTTGATGATAATTAAACATTTTAATTAGTACCTTATTCATTTGGAATGGAAATAAATTCATGAATGGGTTGATCTAGCCAAAAGTTTTAAGATTAATTAGTTGTATATATAGAGAGAGATGTAATATAGACATTACAAGTGTAGTGGGTAATGTGTATTTGTGTTATATAAACGCATACAAACGGGATTTATTTCACCCGATTGTGTATGCAGTTAAACGGAGTAGAGAGAATGAAACGTTAATAATTCAATTGACGACAGGTAAGAGTAAAATAGACTATGGTAAGGCGATGAAACTCAGGGGAAACTTCGGAGACTATATAGATGCGGGTCAAGGACGTTGAAAAAATATTTTTTTATTAATATTTCTATTTAAAAAAAAAAAAAAATATTTAAATGCACTTCAAATTCCATTAAATATTCTCAAGTATTTTAACTTTTTTAGAATCAAGTGTTGAGAATAAAATAGATTTATTTTAATTTTAAAACTTCATTTTTAGAAAAGATTGAAGTTGAAAAACTTACAAATGTATTCAAATTTAACTATTAAAATTTATAGTCGACTGAAATGTAGATAGGAAGAAAAAAATAAAATTTTTTCAATGCTTAGAAAATTTTTAAATAAATTGAAAGTGACTTTTGAAGAAGAATACATAAAAAAAGGTTTATTTGAACCATGAAAATTTAATGACAAAGATCAAAATAGACTTGGCTGAAGTAAAATTTTTCTTGAAGCAAGAAATTTTTCTTCGCTCGATAAAATTTGATTTATCTCAAAATAATTATTTTCTTTATAAATATTTTCTTGAGTTGAGAAAATTATTCCCTCCGCACAGAAAAAAAGGTTCACATGAGCCAAGAAAATATTTTTCTTCCTAATTATTTTCTTGAGCGAAAAAAAAATTTTTTCTCAGCTGAAGTAAGTGGCGCTGCTTCCCTTAAGTATCTAAAAATCTTGATCAAATATAAAAATTTATTGTATCAAGTATTTATGATAATTTGAATTAAGAAAAAATGACTTCCACCAAGAATAGAATTTTAGAAAAATTTTTACTTCGGCCAACACAACTTCGGTCTTCCTTCAGGTACCCAAAAAATATTGTTCTCCAGTCAAGAAATTTTTCTTTCTGTGTAATCAAGAACTAGTTTTATATTTGTGTATATTTCACGAATTCAAATAAAATCATAAAATACTTTTACGAACTGAAGAAATTTTAATTAATATCAACAGTATAAATGTACATTAATAAAATTATTACGGTAAAATGTAATAAGAGAATTAATTTATGAAAGAGTCTCAGGGGTACATCACATCATCTCAGCTAGATATATGTACGACAATTGTGTGACAGAGTATTGACCTAAATTTATATAAAACGTCGCGTGTACTTCATCATTTCGTATTGTGTTGATACAATACTGCTATTATTATTATTAAAAATATATTTTCGTAAATCCGCTTGAATGTAGAACAAAAGTGTTTAACCATTTATTCAAAAATTCCACTTGACTTATTGATAAAATAAAAATAGTTTTTTAAATTTTAACCACAAATACTTTTTTTTTTTTAAGTCGAAAATTTTTAATCGCTCTTTCAATAATAAAATTTTCTCCTGATAAAAATGAAAAATTGAATTTAAACTAACGTTGAATATTCATAAATTTAATAATAAGTCCGTGTCAAAAGCCATAAAATTTAATAACAGTATCGATTTTTAAAAACCCACTATTCATATTATTTATTGCAACAACATTATTAGTCATATACTGTCAAGGTTAGCGTAACACACACGTATATAATAACACTCATTTGTTTCACCGTAAATTATGGGCGCGTGTTAAAATTAATTTTTAAAATTTTTCAAGTATTTTTTCGCCCAACTAACCACCAAAAATCAATAAAAATAAAATATTAAATCAACCGTAAAAAGACAAAGTTCTTTAGAGCATGGACGATGCGGAAAATGACGGCCGAGATTACAGGCAAGTTTATTAGTTACATAATTAATAACACAAACATATTTAGATGCATTAGACAGAGTTTTGTCACTTTTAATAACCTCGTGCTGTCAGATTATGATGCGCTTTTTACTAAAAAAAAGTTACGCCAAGGGAGTGAAATTTAAATATTAATTAAGACACCTGTAGCGTTTTATAGATTGAGAGTTGCTGGCTTTTTTTTTCTACTTTATAAGATCAATTTAAGCTTCAGCTTTATTCAATACTGCGCTGAATAAATTGTTAGTAAAGTGCCTGTAAATTATTCTACTATATGTATCTGATCTAGTCAATTGGTGAGATTAGTAATCACTTTAATTATAATAGTATTACCGGAGATTAAAAGCTTTGAGAGTTTTAAAAAGTTTATTTATTTTTCTTTTGCTTAGACTTTTATAAAGTCAAGAAACTTTAAATATATTTATTAAAAAAATTTTTATATTTTAACATTTTGTAAAAATATTCTTAGTTAAATATTTGATAATAATTTTTTTATAAATTACATTTTCTTTTAAATTATTTCACACATTAAATTTTTTTCTTTAAAAAATTTCCTAATTTTTTTCCAAAAATTACTTATAAAAATAATTTTTTAATTTAAAAATTTCTGCTTAATTCAAAACATTGAAATTAAAGATCATTTTTTTAAAATCAAAATTTTCTCTTTTAAATAAAATAAAATTTTCATCAGTTTACGTTTTTAAAAAACTATAAAATTTTATTAAGTCTCTTAAAAAGATATTTTTTTTATTGCCTCTAAAATTCAGGTGCTCTAGATTGCATGACCTGATGAATGATGAATGAAGCTAAAGCTTTTGAGCAATTAGGCAATAATAACTAATTTAAAAAAAAAAAAAAAAAAAAAAAACGCTTGAAGGTGAATTATTAAATTTAAATAATTTTAAAAATACTCTCAATAATTTTTGAACAATTAAACAAAGTATGAAACACTTGAAAATTAGATAGAGCATTGATCCGATGAAGTCTAAAATAAATATCAAGGTCACGCTGAAAGTGCATCCGATCGAATCGATCAATCAACTGTCGAGCTTACGGCAATAAAAAATAACAGAGCAACACGAAATAAATTCGGCGGGAATGTCTCTGAGGCGAAGTAAATTTTGGCGAGTTGCCAATTGTCAACTGGTCTAGAATAATACCAACGTTGTTTAGTGTTTAGCATCAGAATAAATAAATTTTAACTTGCAGTGAAAATATCGATGAAGGACCAACCAGTAACGTCGAAACCGAGGGCTTTTTCTCCTCGGATAAGAAAGATCCGAATAAAGATGAGGAGCCTGACAAAGACGGTAAAATAAAAACAGAAATAGTGAAGCCCGCGACTATGGCTAAAGGACCCTGTGTATGCAAAAGGAATATGAAGGGCACTAAACATCGCAAGAGAAAATTTAAGCGAAAGTCGAGCAAAGGCCGGTCGCTTAATCCCTTTATTATATTCTATTTGCAAATGTACTACAAAAACCCGAGTAAGTGCGTTACCGAGATCGCCTGTCAGGCTGGAAAAATTTGGAGCAGCATGTCCAAGCAGCAAAAGGAGGAATATATCAAAAAAGCCAAATCTCGTAATGGAAAAGCTTTCAAGACTGAAGATGGTGGCAAAATAAAGAAGGGGAAGAAAAGGAAGAAGATTAAGTCTGAAGATAAAAAAATTAAGAAAAAGAGGAAGGATTGTTGATTTGAAAAATGGTAAATATTTTTTAAATAAAAATTGGTGGTTAATTTATTATGATAAATGTTGAAATTTGATATGAATTTAAAAAAAAAAAGTTTGGAAAATTTAAAAATGCACGACTCATAATGCTTATTTAATTATGAAATATTGACAAAATACAGAATTTGAAAAAAATATCAAACAGCTAAAATAGCACGATAATGCGTACACAGTAAAAATTTGTTCTTGAATCAAGTATATAATATTTAAATAACTTGATTTTGGAAATTTGGACAATAAATGAAGATATTAAATTAAAAGAATTGGCAATTCTTACACTGATAAAAAAATTGACTTGACTCAAGAGCCAAACTCTTGAACCAAGAATTCCATTTTGAAGAAAATGATTTCCTTAGAGCAAGAATAATTTCTTAGCTCAAGAATTTAATCTCTCAATAAAGTCAAGTCAATTTTTTTATGAGTGTATAATTTAATATCTTCATTTATTGTCCAAATTCCCAAGATCAAGTTATTTAAATATTGTAAATATGGACGAGAACCTAAATATCAAGTATATAATTTTGAAAAACCTAATCTTCTTGATTTAAAGAAATTTTACTTGATTCAAGAATTTTTCGTCTTGATTCAAGACAATTTCCCTCTTCAAAATTATTTCCTTGGTTCAAGAATTTTTCTCTTGAATCAAGTTAATTTTTTTTTCAGTATAAGCGCCTCTAGTGTGATAAATGTAAACAACATTTATAGGTATACAGTCTTCTGGTTCTAGTTTTATTTTATTAATTGTTTATAAACGACACTGAAGTACCTAGCCATTCACATTCGGGAACCTAAAATTCTTTCAAAGAATTAAAAAAAAAAAAAATTTAACTCAATTAATGCATTTTTTCGCAAGTTCCAGTGTTTTCGGAGTTTTGTACATGATGGATAGGGAATTTTTTACCTATTTTGATGTTTTTATTCCACTAAATCAATTTTTGAAGTGTCAAATTAATCTCCATTAATTATCTTGACAATAGTATGCAAAATATATTGATTTCGTGAACTAACAAGGCTATAATAATAAAAATAGTGGCCGAAATGAAGCGAAAAAAATTTTTCAATCGTAATGCTTCGCATCATGAGTCGTGCAAAAATTTATTTTTAAAAACAATAATAATTTTTTTTTCCAAAAAATTTTAGAAATATTTCTTTCTATTTTACTTATTTACAATATACATTAAAAAATTTCAAATTTCAAAGTTTTTTTAAGCTACTTAGACTTACATCACTTAAATTATTAAAACTTTTCATTGTAGATCACAAAACATCAGAGTTGAACGCAAATGATAGAATATATAAAGAAAAAGTATTTGACTCAATAAATGTAAAAAATTCGAGAAAAACATTTAAGGGGATTAGGAATTCATTACTGCAGTAGAACTGCGGTGGCAATTAATAGTCGCGCTTGGTATATAGTAATTCGGCGAATAATTCTACAATACAAAGATGAAATTGAACGCGTTTGGCACCTGATGTATGATGATAACCATAAACTCAGCAATCTAGCTCGGAAAAAGCGAAACTCAAACGAATTTCTGGAACAAATTTAAACGGAATATTGAAAAAAGTGGTCGGCAAAAAAAAGTGTTCTATAAAAAGTGACTTATCGGCCCTCATGAGCAGCGACGTGTGTGCTTTATCTGATATACATCTCTCTCCATACTGTACCAGCTTTATCATCTTTCTTTAATGGGGTCGATATATATCTATCATATTATCTTGAGCAGAAAGTGAACCAAACCAGACCGATACACGCGGATCCCATTATATTCACCTGTGTACCAGATAATCCACCCTGCACTTATTCGCGTCACATATATGTATTTATATTATATATTTCTATACGCAATATAATATTTAATTATAAAGTTTAGTTATTGAAACTGTAACAAGTAAAGTTATGATAAGGATATATAAGAGGATTTCTAAGAGGGCCACTCACACTACACTGACGATACAATTACACTCGGTTGTCTCTTCTCTAGCATGCGTATAACCCCTCATACACATAACACCTCTCTGAACTTTCCAATAAAAGGTCTAATCATAAATATAAATAAGTCCAACCTCCAACTAACATAAACGAATAATCAAATCCCCCGTTATCACTCTCTTTGAGGGTCAGGGTCGATTCGAAGCCTCTCGATGCTTCTCACCACTTTCACGTAATTATTAGATCATTCATAATATTTTTACTATATATTATTATTTTAAAATATTCTTTTTATAAGATAGGTATTTTATTTTACTAAAAATGATTTCTTATTTTTGAAAATTTTTTTATTAAAATATTTGTCAACCTTTTTTTTTTATTTCATACGCATAAATTATATAATTAAATTTAAATTATATAATTATAAATATAAAAAACATTAAAATTGAAAGAAATTTTTTAAGAAATAAATTAAATACTAAAAAAAATTAAATTCAAGTCTCTAATCTTGGATTTAAAAATTTTTTTCTGTAGACATTAAATTCATTTTTTTTAAATAATAAAAATTATTTAATGGCTCTTTAAAATTTTCATTATTTCTTTGCAAAAAAAAAAAAATATAAAAATTATCAGAACTTTTTTTTCTGATACTAAAATATAGAAAAATAAAAATATTTTATTGAAAAAATAAATTTAATACTACAAAATATTTTTTTTTTAATTTTTACATCTGAAATTTTTTTTTTCTAATACTTTATCTATTAAAAAAAAAATCTTAAAATTATTAAATGCCTGATTATTTAATATAATTATTTTTTTCAAATTTCATTGCTTAAAAAAAATATTTCTAAATCTAATGATTAATAATCTATTAATTAAAAATCTAACAATTTATTAAAAAAGAGGCCTGCTATTTCGTGAGATAAAATTAAAGTTCCCTGAGTAACTCCAAAATAAATAAAAAAAAAAGCTCACCGTGCGGAGAAATGAAACATCATCCTGTTCGGATCCACCCTCGCTGTCAGCCATCCTCAGACCTCGTGTATCCTATAGAGATCAGAGAGTAGGTCTGACTCCGATGACGTTTCCTCTGGTCTTTGTCTCCCTCCACGACTTAAGACAACTGTATCTGCATGTACCGTCGCAATAATCCAATTAGCTCTAGTTTCTGGTGACTGTACCACAGCAATCATGTATCAACAACAACAATAATAATAGCAATAATAATTAACAACACACACTAGTCGAGCGTGTGCCAATAAACCAAAAAAAAAATAACCAAACAATCACAATCCAACAATAATAACAAGTCACGTAATAGTGAGCCAACCGCGTGTCTGCATGGCTCCTCGTTACACCTGATTTAGAAAAACGCGGGTGCAACAGTACAGTCCAAGCGTCCGTTCGACGACTGAACACCCAACTCTTCGCTGAATTTCCCGATACGATGATGTGATCACATACACAAGGATCGCAATTCCACCCTTCTTCCCCCCTCAAGCCTCAGACTATCTGCAAATTCGACGAACGTAGTGCTGGAGGGTAGAGGGATGAAAAAGCTACACTAGTGTTAGTCTTCTGTGGAATTCAACCCCTTCTGGTACCTCGCGCATGCGGCGTTATTTTTCCTACAATTTAACATTTTTCTTTTAAATTTTACTCCTCTATTTTATTCACGACTAATCTCAATAAATTTATTGGCTAGGGGAGGAATAATTTCTACTTTAAATAAAAATTGGCAATTTTTTATCAAAATTTTGATTGAAAGAAAGCTCGAATTTAATTGATGAGCGGATTCAAGAATTTTAACATATATTCAGGCTTTTTATCTTTATTTAGGTATTGATGTGCCGGCTTTCTCTTAACTAAAGCGCTTCCTGTTTTACGCAACGGTACGCAACGTGAAAACGTTTACATAAAATTGGCAGTGGCCCAAATTTATAAAACATTAATAAAATTTATTATCCTAATGGTATTTAGACTTTTTCTACTCGAAAGCTCCCGAGAGTTAAGTGGGTTAGCAATCGGCTATAATTGTTGATTATTTTTATTATTATTATGGTTAAAATAATTAAATTAAAATTTCAAAAATTTCATTGATTTATATGTTTAGGGATTTTTTTATTTATTTATTTATTTATTTAAGATCCAATAAATAGAAAATTTTAATTAATTAATCACTTAAATTTTTCCTCTTCATAATTTTTGTAATTCTTTATGTATATTGCCGATTGCCGTCAGTATAAATAAATAAATAAATAAATAAACTATCAACCAAAATTTTAAAATTTCTCTGAAATTTTTATTGCATTTAATAATATTTGGAGTAAATTAAAAAAATTTTAATAGTTTAAAATTATTTAAAAAAATTTTATAAATTGAATGAAATAAATAACTTATTTCTACTCCACGAAAGATGTTAATAGATCCTTGATTCAAGAATGAATCACCTAAAATGAATTTTATTTTTGGAACTTCCGTACAGCCGAGTCTAGAATTTACGAAAACGATGACATGTCAATCGAATTTATTTATTTATCCGAGCAATATATATAAAACCGTTGATTGATTTATCTAAGAGGAACTATTTGCACAAGATTTTATGATAATAAATCGTGAATAATGTTTAGAGCGAGTAAAATTTAAAATTCTTACAATACAAGTTTGGAAGAAAATAAATTTCACTGAGCACTGACACACTTTTAACAAATAAAATTATTTTAGAAATGCACTGAACTTATTATTTTTATTTAATTATTATTTTTGAACATTGTGTACTGAGTTTTTAGGTTTGAACAGATGGATATAGGTGTAAATATAAATATAGGAGCCAGTATGTAATATATTTGTCCACAGAAGACAGAGGTGGTTAGAGTACTCCGCCTGGCCGAAAAATAACCCGGCTGAAAATTTAAGTTGGATACCACGGAGGTGTCTCGGCATAAAAAGACCAAGATGTGTGCTTCGTAAATAAGAGAAGAGAACAAGGACGGGAGTAGACCAAGTGGCTCTCGGCTATTTTGAGCAATTGAGCCGCGACGTTCCACGACGCCCTGAACTACTCCCAGGATGATTTTTGAGAACCCTCGTCTTGTAGTTTGCATTTTTATCAAAAAACCCTACGCGCTTTTTTATTTTTTTTTTAAGTTTTATTTCAAATTAGTCAATTTCTGCTAATCAAGATTTTTTTAATGTCAATTAACGGATGAAAATTAAGTTAGCCGACATCTAAAAATTTTTATAATTTTTTTTATTGAAAAAATGATTACAAAAAAATATGAAAATTAATTTAGCAGATATTTGATCATTTTTAGAATTTTTTTAACAAATAAATTATGGTAAAAAAAAATTAGAAAAAGAAATTCAAAAAAATTAAAAACCAATTTTTTTGGAAGAAATGTATTTGCTAAAAAAAATTAAAAATGGTCAAGTGACTGCTAATTTTAATGTCATAAAAAAAATTTCATTTGTAAAAAACTTAAAAATCTTTAAGTGCAATTTTTAAAAAATATTTTTTTGTTTCAATTTAATAAATGAAAAAAAATTTAAAAATTAGAAACGTCGGCTAACTTTAGTATTTTATAATTAACGAATTGACTTTTTACTTACAATTTAAAATTGATATTTTTGATTTTTTTTAAATATAGAACAAGTTTGGTAGTTTTTGAAAAATAGGTCATCTATTTTGTATTTACATACTAATTTAAAAAATATTACAAAATATTTTTTTTTATTTTTAGGATTAACCTCACAGATCTTTTTCTTTAATTAGTAAAAGAAATTTCTTGTATCTCTATACATATGCGTAGAAAAATGTAACATGACAAAACAATAGTTACGTAAAAATAAAATAATACTCAAGTGTCGCCTTGAGAAAAATCCAAGTGAAGTATTTATAAATTTACAATAACTTGAAATATTGTTTTTGAAAATTTTAAATTTCCCGCGCTATTTAAATTGATAATATAGAAATTTATCGTGTCTTCGGATGAAAAACAGATGTCATCCACTCTCTCAGTGAATTGTAATTGGTGACACAAAACACACGTCGACGAGAAATTGTTTGTAATCATTTTTGCTAGTTTTATTATGCCAGTTATTGTTGTTAATTGAATAAATAATTTATTTACGCGCTTAAAATGTCTGCGAAAAACAGAACTAAACAAGAAAAAACTGAAGGTAAGTTATTAATTATTAAATTTTTATTTTAGTAGTTTACTGTGATTCTAGGTTACAGTAAATTTATGTTATTAATTAATAACGGGGTAAATGCCCCAATTTTTATTTAAAATTAAATCAATTGTTATTATATTAACTATTTTTATTTTTTCCGACTTTAATGTTAAAAAAATTATCAAATCTTTTGAAGTATGGACTAATGACAAATTTTTTTATTTCAGGTACTTTTTCGATTAATAAAACATCATTTTTAACATAAAATTTTGATGATAAAAAATAATTTTACTACCAAAGAGTTACAAAATAAGGAAAAATTATTATTCTTGCCAGGTTGATCCTGTCAAAATGTCAGATGAATTATTAATGTCACAATTATTGACACTGTTTCGTAAACAACTATCAAATCAATATTATTATTTAACTCCAATTTTTTTATCATGTTATTCATGTCTTTTTTATTCACATATTTAATATAGTAATTTCTTTTTTATAATAGTGAAAGTAATTGACACCTGACAAAATTTTGAATTTTTTTTTTTATTTAAAGAACTATAAGTGTAATTTTTCAAAAATATTTTCTTAGCACTAATTTATTTTTTTAATGAAACAAAAAAATATGTCAGATGTCACTATGTGACTGCCGTGACTTGTGAACTAAAAAAATTAAAAATTTTGCTTTATTAAATAATTACTATTGTTAAATTGTACTGTACTTTCTTAAATATTGACATTTTTAAAGATATAAGCTCATCACGATGATACACTCATCAAGAGCTTTCATTTGAGTACCCACATGCATTTTGATATATTTTTCATATATACATATATATATATTATATATAAATATATGAAAAATTGATGTGGGTACTTAAATGAAAGGTCTCGATGAGTGTAATGTCAAGGTGAGCTTTGTCATTTATGTCTTTAAAAATGTCAGTAATTGATAAGAAACAAGTTCACAAGATACAAGGTCATTTCCTAATTATAAAAAACCAATATTAATATGACTATCCGGGACACAAAATTTTTTTAATAATATAGATTAATTAATTTTATTTAATTTTTTAGATGTCATAGCATACAGCGAAGGTGCTGTAAGAAATAATGCAGCAGTTGTTGAATACTGCAAAATATCAATGTCCGCGTTATCCGGCGGAACTGCTGGTTTATTAGGACTAACTGGTCTTTATGGTTTCGGTTTTTATATCTTTGCTGTAGTTAGTTTATGGGTAAGTTTTATTTCTCTTATAATTGTTATTTTTTAATTACCAAAAACCAATATAAAAAATATTTAATTTTTTAGGGAATGTTATTATTTAAAGCTAGAGGAAATTGGAAGAAATATTTTATCAGTCGTTACAGTTTGCTGACAAATGGATTTTTTGGCGGTCTATTTGTATCCTTTAAAAGAAAATTAATTACACAATATTAAGCAATAATCGATAATCAATATTTTTTACAGCGTTAAATATTTTCCTTAACAAATTTATTATCATCTGCAGACGTACATTTTATTCTGGACGTATCCTTTCTAATATTTATTTATTAATTCTAATTATTTTTTTATCTTATTAATTAAAAATTATTTTCCTTAATTAAAATTATTTAAACAGATTCCTGTACGGCATGGTCCACGTTTATTAAACCCTAGATAAATTTTGTAAATAAATCGCACTTATAACGATGTTATTATGAGTGACTTTACACTTTTTCACATTTTGAATTATCAATGTTGATGTATAAGAAAATAATATATTTAAAAACTATTGAATAACATACTATTTATTAGTTAATTCTTTAATAATAATAAAATTATTAATTATTTTCATTATAATACATCAAATTTACAGTTAATATGTTTGTAATTTAATTATTAATTTATTATCAAAGAAAATGAACCAAACACGTCAATATGACAAATTTAATTTAATGTTCAATTTGAAGCTTTGTACTTGGCATGCATGTAATACAGTTAATAAATATCTAAATGTTCGAATAAGTCACGGCAGCTTTTTTTAGTGACAATTTATAAAAAAATACTCCAACAATTTTTTTTTATTTAAATTTTTGTTTCTGAAACTTCAGCAACTTGATTTACACCTGAATTTTCAGCTTCCGGGTCGCCTAGTTCTATGGTGTCTATTTTTTTAGCCTGGTCCACTAGATCAAGCTCGTCTTTGCTCAAGTGATAAACTATCCCCGCGCCGAATCCGTCCCCGAGGACATTTACCGAGGTCCTCAGTCGGTCTCTAAAATAAAAAATTAAATAATTTATACAAAAAATTTTTAAAACAGTGTTAAAAAAATGGTAATTATTTACAAGTAGGGTCAATCTTTTTTTTTTGGAGCCATAACTAGGTGAAATATTAAAATTATCAAATTTTTTTTTATTCTGTTTGTTTTTACGGCGCATTTATAATAAAACATGTCGTGAAAGGAAAAAATAAAGATTTCGATAGCTTTTTTGCCTTCAAAAGTTGGAAAAAATTTTGGCTCTCAAGTTTTTGGATAAAATTTCCAATTTATCTTAAAGAATATTGGTAAGTAAAATTTTTTAAATAATTTTTTCAAAACTAGAGTAGATAAAATAATTATTTACAGCAACCAATCGACAGCAAATAGAAGAGACACATCATTTGTCGGGAGTCCAAGTGCTCCTAATACCAGCAACATGGTCACTAGAGCAGAACTTGGAATACTAGCAGCTCCAACACTCGCCAGCGTAGCGGTGAAACTTTAAAATCAAACATAAAATTCATTTTATTTCCCATTAAATTCACAGCTAAAAAATTAATATACCTAACGGTGATAATATCGCCAAAACTCAGAGAAATTCCGTTCAACTGGGCAATAAAAATAGCAGCAATCGCTTCGTACAATGCCGTGCCGTCCATGTTTACGGTAGCTCCCACAGAAACAACGAATCGTGTAACGCGAGCGTCTATTTTATTATTTTCTTCCAGACATCTGAATGTTATTGGCAATGCAGCTGCACTGTAAATTGTTCATACAATTATTTATTTATTAAATTAAAAAGTCAATATAAAAGCTTTGTACCTAGAAGCAGTCGCGGCAGCAGTAATCCAAGCTTGGATCATTCCCTTGAAGTAAGTCGCTGGATTTCTTCTTGTAATGACCCAGAAAATTAGCGGTAGAGTAATGAGACCGTGAATTGACAAACCGATTGCGACAGTGATCATGTAGAATCCCAGCATTTGGGCAGTGGATACTATGTTGTCTATAGACATCACTTTGCCGGCTATCAGACACATTATTCCGAAAGGCGAGTACCTAATGATGTTTGATTTAATTTTTAGAGTTTTTTGTAATAATATAATATACAAGAAACAATAATATGTGGAATAATAATTTAATTACCAAATTATAACAAGATGAACGATCTTCATGATTATCTCATTTAGCGCGCCAAAAAAGTCAACCATAATCTGGGCTTTGGGCCCCAGTTGGCCTACTAAGACACCAAAAGTTATGCAGAAGACAATCATCCCCAAAACATTGGTACCGTCTTTGTAAATTAGTGTCCGTTCGATTACAGTTTCGCTGTTGTTCGTTCGACCGAAGACTACGATCACTGGTTTCTTTACATACGTAGTCTGGGCTTGTTGGAAACTCGCTTGGATTAAATTTTCTGGGACCATGTTTCTGGAAAAAAAAATAATATACTTACAATCAGTTGGTCTTATCAAAAAAATATTAAGAAAAATTTTTTGAATGAAGCCAAAGTTTCTTGAGCCGAGAAAATTTCTTTTTGATCCAAAATAATTTTTATCTTCCTTAAAATTTTTTTGGCGCAAAAAATTTGTTTTTTTTTTTTTTTTTTTTTTGTACATGTCATACAATCAAGAACTGAAACTTTGATTTTTATTAATTTTTAAATTAAATAATAAAAAAAATTATTTATGCTATTAATACCGTCCAATATCTAAAAGAGCGTCTAGAGTTGAAACTTTAGAAGCATCCGAAAAAGCAGAGGTTGTCGATACGGAATTTTTTATCAGTGGGTCTCCAGGGTGAATTGCAAGGACCACGGCGATACCAACTATAGCTGCTAATAATGTCGTCACTGTGTAATAAGTCAGCGCTCTGTAGCCCATTCGTCCAGAACTCCTAGGATCCATGTGAGCCATTCCTTAAATCAGTAAATTTATAAATTTTTAATCAAAAAATCACTTATATAAATAAGTACTAATATAAATTAACCAGTAGAAGATTTATTTATTACCGGTAATTAATGAAGAAATAATCAGTGGCAAAATGAACATTTTTAGCAGACGCATCAAGATTTCTCCAGGGTAATTTACAAGCATTATTGTGTCTGGTGATAAATCGGCTAGACGACCGAGAAATCCTAGTCCCAGCCCGCTAAAAACTCCAATTACTGTTAGCACCAGCAATAAATTCATTGAAAACCATTTTTTTAACTGAAATTATTTACAATTATAAATTGTAAGTTATCGTTTATATAATTATAAATTTATTCTACTAACTGCTTGGCACTTATTGGATTTTGGTTCATCCGAATCAGGATTTTTTTCTTTCTCCCCAGCTTCAACATTTTGTCTGAAGTTAACAAGTTTGATTACTTAAATATAAATCAAGTAAATTATTATAATTTTTTATATTCACATACTGCGGTTCTGGAATAGGTGCGCCTCGTAAAACAGCAACTGCTCCAGTAATTCTTTGTTTCAAAGACATTTTTTGTTTTTATTTTATTTTTTATCTTGTTAGAAGAAAAATCGACAAGTGTTTTTGTTATCGCACAAAAATAACGAACATTTTAGACCAGTTTTAACAGAATCACATCCTAAAATTCAATTAATTATTAATAAATTAATTTAAAAATAAAAAAAATAAGCAGCAATTATAATTTATTAAAACTTCAAGATTGTTGTTACTATTTTAAAAAATTTTTTCACAGAAAATTTTTGATAAAAACTGAATAACTCACTCATGTCTGATACCGATGCAATTCCAACAAAACTTAATAAAAAAAACTAGAGACTTGAGGTAACTTTTAATTAAGAATAAAATTAGTTATTCTGAGTTAATACTTAATACTTAAAGTACCTAAGCTGAGACAAAAAAGTTTATCGTGTCGTTTGGATGTTCAATCAGTCAGTTAAAGTGGTTCATCCAGGATGCTGATGACGCGGAGTTTGCGGAGCAAAGGGGCCGGGATTTTACGAGGGGGTCATCGTTGTAGAGAAGGGACTCACAGGAAAACGTCATTTATTGAATTATGCCATCAATCAGGTGGCTGGGTGTCGTCTCTTACTGCAATAAAAATGAACAGCCTGTTAATAGGACATTTTATCTCCAAGCCTATAAATATCATCAAATCCCCATTAATAATGTTGTAGCATAGTAATGTCTATTTATTGACATTGGATCAAATCTAGGACACGGTACCACCAGACACATCAAATTTATCCATTAAATTGTTTTTATCATCCATATTCATCATAAAAGCTTTTTTTTTTAATTTATAGATAGTCATATGATAAAACCGGTTTTTTTAGTGAAATTTAGTGTCATTGTAAAGGTCTTAATTTGAATTTGTGCCTTTTCAAGGTTTTACATCAATGTCACCAATAGTAAATTTATAATAATAAGTATTTCGGCTGCATTCGAAAATTCTCTATAACTAGATACATAATTAAAAAAATGACCTTGTATCTTGTGAACTATTGATATTTTTAAAGATATAAGCTCACCCCGATGTTACACTTATCGAGACCTTTCATTTAAGTACCCACATCAATTTTTCATATATTTTATATATTTTACATATTTATATATATGTATATATGAAAAATATATCAAAAATGCATATGGGTACTCAAATTAAAGCTCTTGATGAGTGTAACATCGGGATGAGCTTATATCTTTAAAAACGTCAATAGTTAAGAAAGTACAGTGCAATTTAACAAAAGTCATTTTTTAATAAAACAAAATTTTATTTATTTATAGTTCATAAATCATGGCCGCCACATAGTGACTGTAAGGTTGCTAGTTTTAAATTATTGAAATTTAATAACAAAATTTTTTTTCATAGAATATTTTTTAAAATGTTGAAAAATTACAAGATTAATTTTTTTTTTTAATTTTTTGGATTTCTTAATTATAAATTACTTGAAATTTCTACTTTTAACAGTGTAAGTTTTTAAAAATTAAGCAAAATTGAATTATTTTTCTAAAGAATTTCAAATCTCATTTTCGTATCGTAAAAAGTCGCTCGCTATCTTTTAAAAGCGCTCCCTATGCGTGAAAAAATCTGCGCGTTTATTTATAAATATAAAACCAAACATGAATCCGCGAGAACGCATATCAAAAGCTGAAAAGTATGCACTTTATAATAATTTATCAATATTATTAAAAGCTGTAGAAGGTTACAAAACAACAATTGATTTACGAAATGAATCTTACGTTTATGGAACTGTTGAAGAAACGGACGCGTAAGTATATTTTTATAAAATTTTTTATTTTAAAAAAAAACTTCATTCTTCATGTTGTCTTTTTAGGTTCATGAACGTGACGATGAAAAACTGTTTTTTCACGTACTCAAATGGTGATACCGTCAAGTTTGACACGTTATTCGTCCAGTCGAGGAATATTCGAAATGTCCACATTCCTGCTAATGTAAGAAAATATAACATTTGTTTATAAGTTAGAATTATTTATTCGAAATTAATATGGCGGGAAGTTTCTGAAACTCACGTGCTATTTAGATTCAAAACCCTTATTACCCTCGTTGTTACATCACATGTACCTAGATACAGAATTATCAGAGAAAATTCCTTATCTTTCCTAACCTTATTTTGGTTTAAAGTCTGTTTCTAAATTTTTTGTGGTTTATTGTTACAAATTTAAGAAAAGTGAGTTAAAGTTCAGTGATTGAAAAATTCAAATTTTATGCTAATGAAAATAGCAAACATTAAATATAATTTTTTATAATAATTTTTTTAACTATAAAAAATTCAAAAATTTATATAATTTAAATTTATTATTTATAAATTTTTAAATTTCCAACTTTATTATAATAATACCTATCAGTTTAATTATTAAAAAATTATTTTTTAATATCATTTACATAAAAAAAATTTTACAGTTTTAAAAAATTCTAAACTTAATTAGAAATTTCAAAAAATTCTATTAAATAAATTGAAATTTATTTATTTATTTATTTATTTATAATAAATAAAAAAATTAAAAGTCTGCTATTTTCAATAGCATAAAAATTAATTAAAAAAATCACCAGATTTCAACGATATTCTATCAAAAAATTCACTTAAATCTACGACCTAAAAAAAAATGAGTACCTTCAAACTGAGCGACTACGACTGCATCGGCTTCGACCTAGACCACACACTCCTCTGGTACAACGTAACCAACATGGTAGAAATGGAGTACCAAGTTCTCACCAAGTACCTGGTGACCAAAAAGAACTACAACCCGGATTTTTTACAAAAACCACTGACACCAAAGGACATAGATTTCATGCAAAAAGGACTAGTCCTAGATTTCGACCGCGGGAACATCCTGAAGCCCGACTCTAAAGGAATAATCCAACACGTGAATCACGGATCAACTTCACTCTCATTAGCCCAAATAAACTCTATCTACCCGAACCAACGTTGGGAGTCTCTCGATGCGTTTATCAACAACCCCCTGGATGTCTGGGAAGGACCTCACTCCAAGAAGATGAGAGCTCTGATGGATTACTACGACATGCCTGCTTCTCTGGCGTTTGCAAGAGCTGTTGACGATATAGACAGCAGAAATGGGGGGAAAGTAGAAAAGTACGAAGCTTGGAACGATGTTACTGAAGCTTTGACGAACATGTACGAGAGAGGACAGTTTAAAAAAAATCTCGGAGAGTATTTCGTTAATTTGAAGACTAACCCGGATAAATATTTAAGGAAATGCAGCCAAGAAATCGTGAGCTGGCTGAAGGAGTTGAAAAAAACCAGAGTTACTTTTCTGGTGACTGGATCTAATTTAGACTTTGCTGATTTTACTGCCACGCACACGATTGGCGAGGATTGGAGGTCTTTGTTTGATGTTGTGGTATGTTTTGCGAAAAAGCCGGGATTTTTTACCGGCTCAAGACCATTTTTAGCTTTAGAAGGGTATGAAGAAGCCCAGGAGGTAAAAGGCGATGAGTTAACTCGGGGAATTTATTCCCAAGGAAATTGGAAGGAATTAAAGAGCTTGTTTGGTAAAATTACCGGAAAATCAGAGCCTAAGTGCTTGTACTTGGGAGATAATTTAATTCAAGATGTCTTTGTGCCTGCTGGACACGCTGGATTGGATACTGTCGTTGTGAGTGAAGAAATGCATGCTGAGGGCATGGATCATATCACTCTTCCTCACCCAGATGCTGAAACTATGCTGTCCAATTATTGGGGCTCTTATTTTTCTGTTAAAATTAATAATAATAATGGAGAGGAAAAATATGAGAAAAGCTACTGGAGTTTTTTGATTGAAAATTATTCCAAGCTCTGTATTCCTTCTATTAAACTTATTGCCCGCAATCCGTTGGATAAAATTTATGAGAGTTTTGATAAAAATGATTTGACTAGACACGGATATTATCCGGCTAAGCCTAATGGTCTTTTTTGATTTCTTTAATTATAATTTGACTCCAGGTAATTTTGTTAATAAGTTTTGGTGTAAATAAATATTTGTTTTTTTATGACACTAAAGTTAGCAGATGTCTAAAAATTTTTAATTTTTTTTTATTAATTAAACTACAACTAAAAAAAAATTTCAAAAAAAATTGCACTTATAATTTTTCAAGTTTTTTACATGTGAAATTTTTTTTTTTTAATTGTTTAATTGGAATTTTTTCATTAAAAAATTTTGAAATGTCGGCTAACTTCATTTTCAGGGTTTTTTTTTTTTTTTTATTTTTGAGGAGAATTGTAAAGAGTAAGTTTTGTTACAGATATCCATAGTTCCAGCAATTAGCCGACAATTATCGTTACTAAGAGAACCAAAGCAGCAGTCATTGAACGAGCAACGTCAACGCACATTTAAAATGAAAAAAATGTTGGACAAACAAGCTGAAGATAATGAGTTGCGTGAGCAAATTCGAAATAGAGACTTGGCGGTGCCTTCTACTAGCAAATAGCAGTATTACATATTTTTTTATGAAAAAAAATTATTTTTCTGGCTCAATAAATATCAGCATGGTTTAATTGATTTTAGTTATTTATTAATCAGCATAACAATACAAAACGGTAATAAATTTTATACAAAAATACTGGTGGATATAAAAATCTGAGATTTTAAAGTTTTGGTATACTGTTTAAGAAAAAAAGCAATTTTTTTACAAAAATATTTTAGAAGTCAATTTTCGTGATGATATTGTACATTAATACTATTAAATCTTGTAATAGATTTCTTAAAAAAATTTTTCATCTTTAGAAATGACAATTAGTAATAATGATAAATTAAATTTAACATTTTTGTAAACTAAAATTTGAAAAATTTTCTAACAGTGCATTTTATAATTCCTGAGTTGGTACGTACAATTCTGTTTTGAGATAAATCATTTTTTCAAGTATATTTAATCTATATTATTAAGAATAAGAAAAATTTTGTCTCTAGGATAGTCATATGATAAAATCGGTTTTGTTAGTGAAATTTAGTGTCATTGTAAAGGTCTTAACTTGAATTTGTGCCTTTTCAAGGTTTGATATCATTCTCATCGATAGTCAATTTATTATGATAAGTATTTAGGCTGCATTCGAAAATGCTCTTTCTCTAGATACATAATTATGAAATGACCTTGTATCTTGTGAAATATTGACATTTTTAAAGATATAAGCTCATCCCGATGTTACACTTATCAAGACCTTTCATTTGAGTACCCACATCAATTTTTCATATATTTATATATATTATATATATATGTATATATGAAAAATATATCGAAAATGCATGTGGGTACTCAAATGAAAGGTCTTGATGAGCGTAACATCGAAAAGAGCTTATATCTTTAAAATCGGCAATATTTAAGAAAGTGCAGTACAATTTAACAAATATCTTGTGAAATATTAACATTTTTCAAGGTATAAGCTCATCCCGATGTTACACTCCGTGAGACCTTTCATTTGAGTACCCACATCAATTTTTCATATATTTTATAAATCTATATATATCAATACATGAAAAATATATCAAAAATGCATGTGGGTACTCAAATGAAAGCTCTTGAAACGTCAATAGTTAAGAAAGTACAGTGCAATTTAACAAAAATT